CATGTGTAAAATTCTAAGTGATCCTATTGGTTTCTTCAGAGTTTGTAATAAATTTTCACTGAAAGTAGTGAGAAGTTTGGTCTCATTAAATAGCTCAGGATGTGATTTTTTTCTAAAAGGTTAGTCACAGTGTAGAATCTGAAACTACCTGCTAGATGAAAAATCACTGGTCTGTTTTGTATTGTGAACAGATCTTTCACCCACAGGCTTAGATACTTGAAAAGCATTAGCTTACAGAGTAACCTCCAGATCTCTCAAAGATTCCTGCAATTTACTGTATAATATCAGAAAGCAAATTGATATTTGTCCCGGCCTGAGCTGCTGCTCCGGTCTGCGGGTCAGAGTCTAGCAAGAGAGAGAGTGGGGATGGAAGGGCAAGAGATGCGAAGAATGAAGACAAGACAGAGAGTCTAAGTCTCCTTTATTCAAAGGAAATCATGGGTATATATAAGCACAACCAGGGGAACACAGCTGAAGACACTTTACCACGTGTGCCTTGCAGCTGGGGGCACTAAACAACAAAACAAGATATGTGAGGGAAAAAATGTTTATTAGAGTGTGCTCAGCTGTTGTGGGCTGTTGAAGACAGGTCTCTTGTCAGGGTACATGGCTTGAGATGGCTGCAAAGATGATAGCTGCTTTCTGCTAGGAGTCGGCTCCCAACAGATATTTCCATTAATTCCTCGTAAAAATTGAGGAATAGAAGGTTTGCAATGACATATGTAAGTCTGGCAGCATTGTAGGGCAGACTTGAAAGTGAGAGTCACATAATTAACAATCAACATCCTTGTTCTTGATGTGACAGAGTGAACAGCCCAAGTTTAAGAAAATCAGAACCAAATACTACACCAATTGGGATGATTGGGTTTTTGTTGTTGTTGTTGTTTTGTTTTGTTTTGTTTTGTTTTTCTTTCCTCCCTCTAATTTCAGATTTTTTTGGATATTTTATTTACATTTCAGATGTTATACCCTTACCCCATTCCCCACCACCACCTAGGAACCCCCTAACCCATCCCCCTCCTCCTGCTTCTATGAGGATGTGCCTACACTCACCGCCCCACTCCCACCTCCCCACCCTCGAATTCCCCCACACTCTTCATCCAGCCTTCATGAGACCAAGGGTCTCCTCTTCCACCTATGCCCAACAAGGCCTTCCTCCCCTACATATACAGCTGGAGCCATGGGTCCCTCCCTATGTGCTCCCAGGCTGGTGGTTTAGACCCTGGGAGCTCTGGTTAGTTGGTATTGTTACTCTCCTCATGGGGTCGCAAACCCTTTCAGCTCCTTCAGTCTTCTCTCTAACTCCTCCATTGGGAACCCCTTGACCAGTTCAATGTTTAGCTGTGAACATCTGCCTCTGTATATGTCAGGCTCTGGCAGAGCTCTAAGGACACAGCTGTATCAGCCTCCTGTCAGCATGCACTTCCTGACTTCCACATCATGTCTACCTTTGGTGACTGCACATGGGATGGGTACCCAAGTGGAACAGTTTCCAGACGGCCCCTCCTTCAGTTTCTGTCCCACACTTTGTCTCCATATTTGCTCCCTTGAGTATTTTGTTACTCCTTCTAAGGAGGACCAAAGCACCCACACTTGGTCTTTGCCTTGTTCTTTTGAATAAAAAATGGCATATCACTGAAAATAAGGAGGATAGAAAATGATCGAGAGCTTACAATGAATGTGCAAAGCCCCATGTTTGATCAGCAGTACCACAAATAATAAACCAATAGATGATCAAGTTGCTGTCTAGTTCTCGCTTGATTCCTATAACTAACTGATGGTGTTCCTCAAAATAGCTTTTGTTCTTTGGTTTGTAAAAATACTGCATAAACTTCACATCCCACCATACAACATGGTTTATGTTTGTGCACACATGCAAGAGAAATTCATTTAATCAGCACAGAAATTACCAGTCTTTAATAACAATCACTAGACTCTGGTACCCCTATGAATAGAAATTGCTGCTTCTGGCCACTGAGAGGTGCTATGATATATAGTTCATACTTTTTCTTTATGTGCTCCATATTGTCCTTCTAGCTATGCCTATAGGAAAAACATTCTTAAAAGAAAAATGCCTTCTTACATGAAGGCAAATAAAGACCACTCCCTCCCTTAGGAAAACTATTTATAGTACTTCACTGAAGGGGTTAACAAAGTCATAAGTCCCAACAAGTGATGTCTGTGAGCCTACTGCTGTCATCATGGTTAATGAACTACTGATCCATCATGCCTGGCCAAAGATGGCCAATAAAATGCAGACATGAAGAATCCTCCCCAGACTGCCCTTAATTCACCCACGCATGTGCTTAAAAGTTAATATGGTGAAACTGCAAGGGCTCAGGAGGGCTGAGTCAAATGGCCTGACTAAATATTTTCTCATAACATCTTTCTAACTATGCATACTGATATCAGTAGGTGGGAATGTAATTTCCTAATGCATTAGATGACCTTTCCTTGACTAAATGGTCACTTCATGTGATTCAAAACCCCTTTATTGGGATGTTCAGTTTAATGGATCTGCAAGGAATACCATTTGTCAAGATTAATGTGTTTCTAAGGGATGGCTCGGGACATAATAGGTATGTTTAATGTGGCTCTAATCGTCCCGGCTTCCACTTCTATTGCTCTAAGAATTTATGCCAGTTATCTTACCATTTACTCCTCCATCCAACAATTCCTCCTCCCCACTGTCTCATTAATTTTATCATTAGTATTATTGCTAATTTTATGCAGTAAAAATATGTACTGCCAGTGATTAAAACAAATAAAGAACTGGTAAACTAGTTAGGCTAAACACCCTTTTAAGAGAAAATGATTGATACTTAACTCCTCCCTGGAAAATATAGATATTGTGGTTTATTTTTATTAATCCAAATAGTTGATTGTTCTGGTGTACACTCATAACTCATGAACACTTATAACTTTTCTAACCCATTATTTTATCCACTAAGTCTAAATTTCTGTCTATTGAAAAACATTAAAGTTTTACGTTGCTTGTCTTATAAAATGAAGAAAATGTATTTAATTTTTTAAACTACTGATGGAAGTTACTCTGTAGGAATGTGAGTTCAGGATTCCTTCCCTAGAAGGATGGATTAAAACCTCTGGCCCATTGAAAGTACAAAGTACCTTCTAACCTTTTAACATATCCTCACAGTACTTTGTAGCATCTTAGAGATCTACCATATGTGGAGACTGATTTATAATCGTATAAACCAAGGGAATTCCCTTCCAGATCTAAAATGAGAGACAGTAGTTATGCAATAAAAATCATAGGTTTAGCAGTAGCAGGAAGAAATCTGAATCATATTCCTGACAAAATGTGGGCCAACCACTCCACTATTTTCAGCATATATTTCACCTTTGTAATCTATGACCAATACTTACCAAAGTGCATGGGAAGTAAATACCTCATTGAAACCAGTTTTAAGCTATATTATTGGTTTCAGCTCTTTGAGATACATTAATAAAAATTCACATCTCCATGTTTGTGTAACTAATGTGTTTTGGAGCCAAACCTGGAAACAGTATATAGCTGTATGCAGGCTATTTGCTGTTGTTTGTTTGTTTGATTGTTTGTTTTTATTGTTGTTACCTGGAAACCTGAGATTGAGTCCTTTTGCTTAATGCTAAGAGATAGAATAGAGTTTATAAGTCAAATGAGGTGAGATTCTGGATTTTTCCCCCCTGTGGTAACTACAGGCCGGTAATGTGCTTTGTTATACAAACTAAAACTTCCTTTGAGATTGAGTGGCTCCAGTAGAATTGCCATTGTATTTGACACAGGGCTCCTTTGCAAGAGCACTTCACGAAATCCTGTGGAGAAGATAAAGGCCTCTTGGTGAAAGTATCTCTCCATTAAGAGTAAATCACAGTCTTCTTCCTGCTGTTGGAGACTCCCCACAATTCATAAACTCACTAAGAATTTCATTTGTGCTTCCCTGGTGTGAAGTTAACAAATAAAAGCACTGCAGCCCGTGTGCATTTCAAACACTTGCAATACTGTACCTTCTCTCCAGACAGCTGGCAACAGTCTTCTGAGAAATTAGCACAGAGATTGAATAACTCTAGTAGCTAATAGCTAGTGTTTTACTAGAATGTGAGTCACTCCTTCCCCCATCGTCTTCCCGAACTGGAACTCCCAACTCTTCACTTGGAATGTTCGTACAAGAGAACAAAGAGAGAAAAGAGAAAAGAGAAAGATTTGCGCCTGCACACACACACACACACACACACACACACACACACACACGGTGTGGGGAGAGGGAGAGGGGAGGGGGAGGGGACAGGGGGGAGAAGGAAGAGGGAGAGGGAGGCTCTAAATTCCGGAGAACAGAGAAAGGGAAGGAACTGAAGGAACCAGTGACAGAGGAGGAGAGGAGAGAAAGGGGGAGTGATGACTGGCATTCAGTTGCTCAGAAACAGCCTCTGACAGTAGAACAAACACTGAGTTGAAGTGTAGTTTCATATATGGGGGTTCAAAGAGAATAATGATGGCTTTTTAGAATTCTTGATTAAAAAAAAATGTGGGTAATAGTAGTCTTCACTAGTACTTGAGGTCAAATGAGACAAAGATGGAGTCCCTTTGCATCATTAAAGAGTAAAGGTAGACAAAGCCAACTTATTACACACAAGAGTTACTAAATAATTTAATGACTGAAATGGGCTTGTCATTTCTTTTCAAGAATTGCTTAAATTGGCCACGTGTTTACCTTATTAGGATGATCAGAAGTTTTTCCCTGAAGGACAAGCTTCAAACATTGTTAGGCTCTGGGTATTTCGATGGAAGGATGTTAGATATGCGCTGTGGGCAACAGCAAGACACCTCTGAGGTGGAGAGTAAATCCAATGTGAACCTTTTGATGCCCAGAGCTAGCAAGCAACCATTCACTCCAACTCTGAAACACTAGATTGACTTTGTTCTTAAGAGAAACATGGTGATGATCCAGGAATTGAAATGCTGTGCACTGAGTTTGTCATTCATTCTTCTTGAACTGCAGGAATCACCACAGTGCTCACCATGTCCACAATCGTCACTGGTGTGAGCACCTCCATGCCCCAGGTATCCTATGTCAAGGCAGTGGATGTATACATGTGGGTCAGCTCCCTCTTTGTGTTTCTGTCAGTCATTGAATATGCAGCAGTGAATTACCTCACCACAGTGGAAGAGTGGAAGCAACTCAACAGGAGAGGAAAGGTACAGCTTTGCATTGAATATCAACTCTTTTCAGAAAGTGCTATGTTTGGTGTTGTTTCCTGTTGCTGTGATAAAATATCCTGACAAACTCAACTTCCAAAAAAGAGGGGTTATTTTGGCTCACAATACAAGGGTACCATCCATCACAGTGGGGGAAGTCAAGACAGCAAGAAATTGAAGCGGCTATTCATATTCCACCCGTAACCAGGAAGCAGAGAACAATTAATGCAAGCTGCTACCTCTTTCTTGCTTATACAATGTATGATTCCAGCCAAGGAATGGTGCCACCCACAGTGGGACTGGCTTCCCACCTCAAATAACACAATTAAGAGGATCACCTACTGGTAGGCCCAGGAGCCCATCTGGCAAGTGATTCTCAATTCTGTCAAAACTTGACAATTAGCAGTAAACATCCCAGGGCAAAGACTAACTTCTTTAGCAAGCTTCTTACAGTTTATCAAACTCTTACATTAAATTCAAATGCTTTGGCAAGAGTCAAGCCAACAGGATTGTGAGAATACAATGTGGAAGTTTAATCACTGCTCGATGCTAGCTGCTTTCCTCAGCATCCTCATTCACTCTCCCTGAGGGCTTTTGTGCATAAAGAATTCTCAGTATGGACTGGTCTCCGGACTCTGCCCCATTAAAAGAAGAAAGTGTACAAACTGCTTCTTTTCTAATTGTTGGTGATGATGTTGATGGTCATGGTGGTAGTGGTGATAGGTAGAAAGGTTTAAGCATTCATTCTCTATTGGCATTATGCTAACACCTCAAATATTTTGGTAATTTGATTTTCTTGCTAACCCCAAGAGGTCTGTGTTTTCTCACCTTCATTTCACAGAAGAAAAGAAAAGTGCAGCCAAAGTCACAGAGTTAAAAGGCTCAGAATTAGCTTGTGCATCTATGACTATAAAGGCTCTGCTCTCAACCAATTGTGATATGTTTTTCTCTTTGTCACTTACAAGAATACTAGAATGAAATGAGAAATACTTCTCTCTATAGTGTCCTGGCAGAGGGGTATCTTCTGTACTCTAAAATTGATTGAGGTTTTTTTTTGACATTACTTAATAATGTCAAAAAACCAAAATTAATATATTAGGATAATATATAAATTAGTATAATATATAAAAATTAATATATTTTTACTGCTGTATTTCACAAGCAATTTGGGTACCAGTCTCCTGTTCTTATGAAAACTTATAGAGACAATTTCTGTGTGTGCACATATACATAATTTTAATGAAATGTGTTCACATTGGCTTTAAACATTTGTTTTAAAGATTTCTTTTAGAAGGAATATCTGTATTTTGCTGCATGTACCACATGTGTGAATTGTCCATAGAGGCCAGAAGAGGGCATTAAATCCCCTGGAAATGAGGTTCAGACTCCAGTGTAATCTATCATGTGGGTCCTGGAAATAGAAACCAGGTCCTGTGCAAAAGGAACAAAATCTTTAACTGCTGAACTATGTCTCCAGCCCTAAGATTTGCAGATTGTCATATGAGCATTTGTGCATACTCAACATTGTTTGATATTTTAATTTTTCTAATGAGAGCATTTATTTTCACAATTTTTTTTAATCTCATCATCATCCACTGAAACTGCACATCAGGTCCCCCATTTAAGTTGTGCAGAAACAGTCTTCTTTGCTTTATAGGAGAAGCAGGATTTTGATGAATTAGAATAATTAGACAAGTGATGCCCAGAGAACTGAGTTCCAATTCAGGCCTCTGAGAGTAATCATTTCAGTCACACCTTTTACGTCCTTTGGGTCAAAGCCCTAGAGTAACTGACTTTGTTTTATTCAACAAGCATTTGTTTCTTTTGTTAACTGCATGGGGCCTTGCCACACACCTGTGTACCCTGAGGAGGACACAGGTTTGAGGACACCAGGAGCTTTCAGTTGCATGTGACACCAGAGTTCATGTACATTTTCAGTGCTCTTGTGGAGCCTAACTCTGCAGAAGTGAGGTAGAACCTGAGAGGCTACGTGTTTGACAAGCTCCAGGTGATGCTAAAGCCAGTGGTCCTCTCCAACACTGGAGAAAGCAATGGTCTGGATAATCTATAGCATGAAAGATGAATGGGGGAAAGTGTGTAGAGAGGGAATGAGCTCCTTGTTTCTTGTTTGTCTGTTATAATGTAGTGAGTGGTTAATGTAGGGACTAGACACTGAAGTAAACTGGGATCACCCATCTATTTCTTTGACTCCGAAATATACCTTCCTGTTCTTACCTGCAACACAATGTTCATACCACCTGAATCTTTTATATTACCTAAATTTTTTCATTAACAATTTTACACATGGATAGCATACGTATTGAATACTTTCACCCCAGACCCTCTCCTATCTTCCTATCCCCACACCACCTTCCCTCATCTATCTCCTCTCCTTTCCCTCTCCTCTAAAAAATCTTGTCTTGACGTCCATAGCTATTCATTTTGTTTTGTCCCACTTAGTTTAACAAGAACTATCTATATAAAGCTATCCATTGGAGCTTCTTGGGCTCAGCAGTGGATACACAACTAAAGACAAGAACTCTCCCTCTTCCAGAACCTATTAATAGTCAGTAGTTCAGTTGTAACAGGTAGCTCCACGTGATCTCCTCCTTCATCTGTGACTAGTTATTAACAGGGCCAGTTTGCTGTGGCACCAGTGATGGCACCCACAGTAGATCCCATCATGATTGCATTTGTTCTACAGAATCTAGAGGATGGCGTTTCTCAGCCATTCACATTTCCCAGATCTTCTATCTTTTCTATCCTTTCTTCTACAGTGTTCCTTGAGTGTTTTAGGAGATAGTGTAAATGTCTTGTCCAAGACTGAGCCTTCAGTCATCTCTTACTCTTAGCACCTTGGGTAGCCAGAAGTCTGCATTCACTGCAAGAAGAGAATTGTCTGATTAAGGCTAAGAATAGCATTTGCCTATGTCTATAGGCACAGGTATTTAGAAGGCAATTTGATGCTGTGTTAATTTAGTTAAACAATAGAAGTAAGTTCCCTCTCTTGAGCCCATCACTTCTCCAGGAATGAGTTATTAACAATGACTACAATACCACACATGGTTTTCATCCCATGGAATATATATTAAATCCAAACAAAAGGTGGTTTGTTACCTCCAATAGGCACGCTATTGCACTGGTGGTTATATCTTTCCTCTCAGACTGGCTTTGTAGTTTGCCGGATTCACAGTTAGGTAAGACAGTAAAATCATTTCTCCCCCACTGCATAACACATTTCAGTACTTTGAATGCTAAACAGCAGCCAGGAGGTTTTCAGCTCACTGTCAACTTACTTTCTTTATATCTGTTGTGGTGTGTTCAGTAATAGGATCTTACACTCTAGTTGCAGTGAGTAATCAAGAGAGCTGCCAAGAACTTGGGTAGTTTGAGTGCCCTCAGGGGCCTCCATGAACAACTCCTATAAATGTATCCCATGTCCGTAACTGGGAATTTGTTTAGTTTACCCTCTGCTTCTACAGGAATTGCCTGGCTATTCATAACAACTTGTTTCGTCTCTCATCTCTATTTTTCATTTGGGTTACAAGTAGTAGACTTTCATATGGCTTTTTTTTTACACATTCTTTATTAGGCTAATTTTCTCTGCCCCGTCCTCTTACCATGTCATCTTACTAGCTGGCTCCAATCTTAAACCTGTTTTCATGCCCAGCATTTCCCCTTCTGTACTTTGCTTTGACTATCTCTCCTCACTTAGGGCAATACAGCCTAATAACATCCGCTTTCTTTTCCTGGCTTCCCAAGGCACTCCAACTTAATCAAATAGAACTAAAGAGTTAAAACTAAGATCTGCACATGAAAGAGAAAGTGAAGCATTTCTACTTTTTTGTCTGGATTGTCACTTGGCCTAGTTTCATCCATTTAACTGGAAGGATCATAATTTTATGTTTTTTAATATATAAAAAACATATTATTGTATATATCTACTCATTAATTGATAGACATCTGATTGCTTCCATTTTATAGCTATTATAAACAGAACAGCAATAAGCATAGATGTGCAGATATCTCTACAGTACGCTATAATATCCTTTAAAGTTATACCTAGAAGTAGTATAGCTGGTTCCTATGGTTATTGAAATTCTGATTTTTACTTTTTTTTTTTTTTTACTTTTTGAGAAATTTCCAGATGGATTTCCATAGTGGCTTCAACCATTTATTCATCCACCAACAGTGTTCAATAATTAATTCCTCTTTCTTCACAACATTTGTATTTATAGTGATAGCCATTGTAACTGAGGTCAAACAGAATTGTAAAATAATCTAAATCTGCATTTTAGTGATGATTAAGGATCCTGGACACCTTTTGAAGTGACTCCTTGACATTTATATTTCTTCTTTTGAGAACTCTCTTTACTTCTATAACTATTTTTAGTTAGATTGTTTGATTAACTAGTGTTTAAATTAATTTGTGGTGGTCTGAATAGATTTGCCCCCGAGCCATCCATATACTCATGTATTTGAATGCTTGGCCCACAGGGAATGGCATTATTAGAAGATATGGCCTTGTTGGAGGGTATGTGTCACTGTCAGGGTGGGCTTTGAGGTCTCCTAGGTTTAAGCACCATCAACTGTAGAATTACAATCTCCTCTTGGCTGCCTGCTGGACACAATCACCTTCTTCTGCCTACAAACCAAGATATAGAACTTTCAGTGCCTTCTCTATTACTATATCTGCCTGCACACTGCCATCCTTCTCGTCATAATGATAAAGGACTGAATCTCTGAAACTGTAAGCCAGCCCCAAGTAAATATTGTCCTTTATAAGAATTGCCTTGGTTATGGTGTCTCTTCACAGCAATGAAACCCTAAGTCAGACAATGTTCTCTTAGGGTTTTGCTTTGTTTTTATTTTTTGCATATTCTAGAGAATCCTCTGTTAGATGTTTAGATGGCAAAGATTTTCTCCCTTTTTGTGGGCTGACTCTTTATTCCAGACTAACGTTTCATGAGATCCTCTGGGTAGGTTGCTGTTCTCACTCC